CGGGGATTTCGAGCGGTCGATGGTTTGTCGCGAGAGACTTCCATGAGAACACTCGTCGGCAATGTCGGCAGGAGAATGCGAAACGCGTCATCACCGATTAATGAAGACAAGGAGTACTCGGACAGATGGATTTTCAGCTTCGCGCGGAAAATTTGCCCGGATTCGGTACCGGTCCATACCAACGTTCGTGATCGTCCGTCGGGTAATAACGAAAAAGATTCCCCTTTTCGATGGTGGAATTCTCACTTGCTCTCCTTTCATGTAACAACTCAGCTCCAGGAATGGATAGAATCAAGTTCAACTTGCTCAAAAATCTCCCAGACGTCACGAAGAGACGCTTGTTAAGCTTATTCAATCAATTTCTGGAGCACAACATTGTTCCGGATGACTGGAGGCAAGTGAGAGTTATCGCCATTCGAAAACCCGGTAAACCCGCGTCGGATTATAACTCGTACCGTCCCATCGCGATGCTGTCATGTATACGGAAATTGTTGGAGCAAATGATTCTTTTTCGTCTAGACAAATGGGTCGAGTCGAATGGTTTACTTTCAGATACGCAATTTGGATTTCGGAGAGGCAAAGGAACGAGCGACTGTCTTGCGTTGCTTTCAACTGAAATTCAACTGGCCTATGCGCAAAAACAGCAAATGGGTTCAGTTTTCTTGGACATTAAGGGGGCTTTTGATTCTGTTTGTATCGATATCCTTTCGGATAAACTCCACGGTAGTGGGCTTTCACCAATTATGAACAACTATTTGAGCAACTTGTTGTCTGAGAAATATATGAGCTTTTCTCATGGAAACTCGACAACTTCACTAATTAGTTACATAGGTCTCCCCCAGGGCTCATGTTTAAGCCCCCTTCTTTATAATTTTTATGTAAAAGACATTGATGGTTGTCTTGATGAAAATTGCTCGCTAAGGCAGCTTGCAGATGACGGGGTTGTGTCCGTTATAGGGCCAAGTGCACCGGACCTGCAAGGACCATTGCAAGATACCTTAGACAATTTGTCTACTTGGGCTATGAAGCTGGGTATCGAATTCTCTCCGGAGAAAACTGAGTTGGTTGTTTTTTCTAGGAAGCATCATCCTGCACAGTTACAGCTTCAACTAAAGGGTAGAACAACCACTCAAAGTATATCTTTCAAGTATTTAGGTGTCTGGTTCGATTCCAAAAGCACATGGGGAAAACATATTGCGTATGTGAAACAAAAATGCCAACAAAGAATCAATTTTCTTCGTACAATTACCGGAACTTGGTGGGGAGCACACCCGGAAGATCTGATCAGGTTGTATCGAACAACCATCTTGTCGGTCCTAGAGTACGGTAGCTTCTGTTTTCAATCCGCGGCGAAAACACATATCCTGAAGCTGCAACGGGTTCAATACCGTTGCCTCCGAATCGCGCTTGGCTGTATGCACTCGACGCATACGATGAGCCTCGAAGTGCTCGCGGGTGTTCTCCCACTGACAGATCGTTTCGCGGAACTGTCCTTCTGGTTTCTTATCCGTTGTGAAGTAATGAACCCATTGGTAATAGAAAACTTTGAGAAGCTGCTCGACAGAAATCCTCAAACAAGATTCATGAGTCTCTATTACGAGTACATGACGCTGGAGATTGGCCCTTCTTCATTCAATTCCTCTCGTGTTTGCCTCCAAGACTTTTATAGTTCCTCTGTAAATTTTGATCTGACCATGTTGCAAGAAATCCGTGGAATACCAGATCACCATCGGTTGATGGTTGTTCCCTTAATTTTTGCAAACAAGTACCACCATGTTAGTAACAATAAGAGTTTTTTTCACAGATGGGTCAACTATAAACGCTTCCACTGGATTTGGAGTATTCAACGAATTTCATAGCGCCTCATATCAACTGCAAAAACCCTGTTCCGTATATGTTGCGGAACTAGCAGCCATATTTTACGCAGTAGAGCAAATTGCCTCACTACCATCTCATCACTATTTTATTTTTACTGATAGCCTTAGCTCGTTGGAGGCTATTCGATCAATGAGGCCGATGAAGCACTCCTCGTATTTCCTGACCGAAATCCGAGCTAAATTGAGTACTTTATCTAACTGCTCCTATACTATCACCTTAGTTTATGTCCCATCTCATTGCTCAATTCCGGGTAATGAGAAAGCGGACTCACTAGCTAAGGTGGGCGACAAATCGCCTTTGCGGAATTTTTTTCAATTACCCTTCAGCACGTCCTCACCAACTGGCAACAAAAATGGAATGAGAGTGATCTGGGAAGAAGGTTACATTCTATTCTCCCACAGGTGTCGAACAAGCCATGGTTCAAAGGATTGGACATGAGCCGTGACTTTATACGTGTCATGTCAAGGCTCATGTCTTTATCACTACTCGTTAGACTAGCATTTCTTCCGAATCGGGCTCGCAGACAGCAATTTGTGCGCTTGTGGTAGTGGCTATCACGATATCGACCACGTGCTTTGGTCATGCACCCTCCATTGTGTTGCTAGATCCGAGTTATCCGCATCCCTCAGGGCCCGAGGAAAACAACCTATGCGGCCCGTTAGAGACATCTTGGCGAGCCGAGATCTCGACTATTGCAATTTAATTTATGTGTTTTTAAAACGGATAGATCTGAGGATTTAGTAGTTAGTCTCATCTTGTGTTCCCCCAAGTTGTTAGATGCCCATCGGTGTACCCCCATGTTTGTCTTTTGCATCAGTTGGTCGCTTAGTTCAAGATCAAGAGCACATTGCTCTCCAAACCTTGTGTTCTCAATCCCTACCCTGCCATCCATTTGTTACAATTTGTCACCCCTAACCTCGAGATAGCCGCGAGTAATCGGCCCCCGCTTTACTAACGTAAGTTTTAAGAAATTTTGTAACCTAAACATTGAATATCGGCTCCGCAAAGCTAGGGCAAATGAGCCTGGAAAAATAAACGCACTATGAAAAAAAAAATAATTATAAATATGAATTCGGAGTTGTGATTGGCATACATACATACATACATACATACATACATTGAACCTTGTGTCCAAGTTGTTATCGCCTTTATTTAAAGGGTGATACGGTCAAAATTTGGTCAAGGGAAAACGCGTGTAAATCGGTGAAATCGTTTATTTAAAAAATCAAATTAAATTTCTTTTTCAAGTTCAATTAGTATAAGGTAAAATATTCAGTTAGGCTTCCGCTTTTCCAAATCCGAATTGCCGGGCCTTACGCTTGACCCCTGCCATCAGATTTTGTACAGCCACCTTGTCCACCTTCTTCGCCGCAGAAAGCCAGTTTGCCTAGAACTGCTGCTCGCCCTTAGCAGTTTTTTTTGGTCTTTTTTAGGTTCCGCTTGACAATAGCCCAGTATTTCTCAATTGGGCGGAGCTCTGGCGTGTTGGGAGGGTTCTTGTCCTTGGGAACCACCTGCACGTTGTTGGCGGCGTACCACTCCATGGCCTTTTTACCGTAATGGCAAGATGCCAAATCCGGCCAAAACAGTACGGAACAACCGTGTTTCTTCAGGAAAGGCAGCAGACGTTTATTCAAACACTCTTTCACGTAAATTTCTTGGTTGACAGTCCCGGAAGCTATGAAAATGCTGCTTTTCAAGCCACAGGTACAGATGGCTTGCAAACCAGATATTTCTTTGCGAACTTTGACAGTTTCATGTGCTTGAAAACATCTGCTACCTTTCCCCTTCCTTTTGCCGTATAAAACTCCTGTCCCGAAAGCTGCTTGTAGTCGGCTTTGACGTAGGTTTCGTCGTCCATTACCACGCAGTCAAACTTCGTCAGCATCGTCGTGTACAGCCTCCGGGATCGCGCTTTGGCCGTCGTATTTTGTTTATCATCGCGATTTGGAGTCACTAACTTCTTGTAAGTCGATAGTCCAGCTCGTTTTTTGGCTCGATGCACGGTTGTAGACGATACACCCAGCTTATTTGCGGCATCTCGGAGAGAGAGGTTAGGGTTTCGCTTGAAACTACCGGCAACTCTCTTTGTCGTCTCAGCGGCTTCCGGTTTTCGATTTCCCCCCGATCCAGACTTCCTGGCTGTCGACAAACGTTCCCCAAACACTTTAATTACATTTGTAACGGTTGATTTGGCAACTTTTAGCGATTTTGCCAACTTTGCGTGCGAGTAGCTCGGATTTTCGCGATGCGCGAGCAAAATTTTGATACGCTGCTCTTCTTGCTTGGACGGCATTTTGACAAATGAAGAGTGAATTCCAAAATTAAAATAGGAGCAACATTCTACACACACACACCTTCAAAATGAGGGGTGTTCAGGTTTTTTAAATGCAAAATTGAAAGAAATACGTCAAGTTGATATTGACCAAATTTTGACCGTATCACCCTTTAAAAAGTTGTGGCTAGTTTTTATTGAAAACTATGACTTTATTTTAAATTAAATTAAATTCTTTAAACAAAGAACGCTCTCACAGTTTTTTTCCTAAAAATTAATTAAAACACCATCTTTGAAATGAAATCAAACGTTTGAAAATCGGTTTGCTCCATTTAGAGATAATGACAATTGAGAAGAACAGTTTTTTCGAAGAAAATCTCCATTAACTTTTTAATCAAAAAAGATAGCAACTGGATGCAACCTCATGTGAGCATGCGCAATGTGTCGAGTGTTCTATTTGCGCTCAATCGTTGCGTCCGTGTTTGGGATTTTTCGTCCCATGTCTGAATTTTGATTTTTTTTTAATGTGACCCCCACTTTAGAAATTACAGACGTAGCCCTACGTCAAAAATTACATTATGGAATATCGAGTCTTGTAGAGTTGACGGTACACTAGTTCTGTAGAGCACAGAGAACTGCGACACTCGTACCTGTTCCTCTCATTGTAAGCTTCAATTTACCGTAAGTTAAACTGACCACATATGACAGAATGTTTGCGTGCATTTCACGTTCGCCAAACATAAATATTTTTATATTTTCATTAACCTGTCTCTACTCTGCCACAACATCATATGAAAAAAAAATATAAAATATAACGATTGAACCGTTGCCAAGATTAGTTCACGCCATGCTTTCGACATTGAATCACTATTTATGGGGCGAATCAGTCTGCGCCGAAGTCTTGGATCGAGTTACCTTTACCATTAACGGAAAACCTTACACCATCAACTCCAAGACCTGCCCAGTAGACACATCTTTGAACACGTTCATCCGTAACAATGTCCTACTCCGTGGAACGAAATTCATGTGCTTGGAAGGTGGCTGTGGAGCTTGTACTGTATACGTCGAACGCCGTGATCCCATCACCGGAGAGAAGGTCTCGATCGCAGTTAACTCGTGCCTGTTTTTGTTATTTGCGTGCCATGGACTGGAAATTACAACGATCGAAGGAATTGGAAACAGGAAAGACGGATACCACCCGCTGCAGGAGCGACTGGCTCAGTACAATGGGTCTCAGTGTGGAATGTGCTCTCCCGGAATGGTGATGACGATGTACAGTCTGATGAAGTCGAAGGGAGGGAAGGTTTCAGTGGAAGATGTGGAGAATGCACTCGGTGGTAATCTATGCCGTTGTACCGGGTATAGGCCGATATTGGATGCATTCAAATCCATGGCAACGCAAACGGAAGAAGTGTGTGCAGATATTGAAGACTTTGTGAAGATTTGTCCTGGTAGTGGGAGAACTTGTGCTGGAAAGTGTAGGATAAAAGATGAGAAAAAACAGATCAAGATTTTGTTTGAAGACGGAAAAGAGTGGCACAAGGTTTACAGATTGCAAGAAGTCCTGCATATTCTGAATCAGATTGGAGAGCGACCGTATATGCTAGTGTGTGGGGATACGGCTCATGGAGTGTATCGAAGATGTGAGAATCTACAGGTGTTTATAGATTGCAACTCGGTGGAGGAGCTACACGAAGTCTCCCTGAATGACACCACCGTTTCGGTGGGAGGGAATATTTCCCTTTCGAAGTTCATGCAAATTTTACAAGAAGCTGCTGCTATGAATCCATTATTCAGCTACTGCAAGGAATTGGCAGAGCACGTTGACTTAGTAGCAAACCCATTAGTTCGAAATGTTGCAAGCATTGCAGGGAACTTGAGTTTGAAAAATCAACACCATGACTTTCCTTCTGATATCTTTCTTCTCTTGGAGACTGTCCGTGCAGAGTTATCAGTAGTTGACCCAGCAAATCAAGCAGTCACTGTAAGTCCTGAAGAATTCGTAATGTCCAACGCTCAGAACAAAATAATAAGATCAGTCACCTTACCTGCTTTGGATCCCCATGTTTACGTTTTTAAATCGTACAAGATCATGGCACGGGCACAGAACGCTAAAGCATACACGAATGCTGCATTTTTGCTGCTATTCGACAACACAAAAAGTATCATCAAATCTGCACAAATCTGTTTTGGAAACATTAGCCCGACATTCGTTCATGCTGAGCAAACAGAACGTTTCTTGGAAGGCAAAAATCTATTCAACAATGACACACTGCAAGCTGCCATAGAAACTTTGAAATGTGAGTTGAAACCAGATTGGGTACTTCCTGAAGCATCTGCCGAATACAGGAAGAACCTTGCGATTTCCTTATTCTACAAATTTGTACTGAACATTGCCCCTCAGACCCAAATTAAACCACAATACAAATCCGGTCAAATACTGCTGGAGCGCCCGCTTTCTTCCGGCCAGCATTCCTTCGATACGTACGAAAAATATTGGCCGCTCACGAAGGATGTCCCAAAACTAGAAGGCATAGCTCAGTGTTCCGGTGAAGCCGAGTACATCAACGACATCCCACCATTCCCCGGTGAACTGTTTGCTGCTTTCGTTGGGGCTACTGTACTCAATTCCAAAATAGCCCGGATTGATCCATCGGAAGCTCTGAAGATGTCTGGGGTGGTTGGATTCTTCACGGCCAGTGATATTCCTGGGGCGAATAGCTTCACCCCACAAGTTTTGGGATTTCCCGAAGTAGAAGAAATTCTCTGCAGCGGTGAAGTACGGTTTTATGGACAACCAGTAGGGATAATCGTTGCAGAAACGTTTGAGATAGCAAATAATGCAGTTAAGTGGGTTGAAATAAGATACGAACAATTGCTTGATCGAGAGATTTACCCAACATTGGAAGAAGCTATAAATAATGCTTCAGAAGGACATCGATGTAGTGAGACTGCTGAAATGGTCGGAGAAGAGTTCAGTACCGCTGATATTCGGGATACGCAGTATATCAAAGGAAGAGTGGAGCTGGCAGGTCAAGCACATTTCCCCTTGGAAAATCAAACCTGCATTTGTGTACCGAAAGAGAACGGAATGGAGGTGTATCCTGCAACTCAATGGATGGGTGTAAACCAAGTCGCGATTGCGCAAATGTTGAAGATTCCTCAAAACCACGTTGACATCTACGTTAGAAGGTTGGGTGGAAGTTTCGGTTCTAAAGTTTCTCGATCTGGACTGACAGCATGCGGTGCAGCTCTAGCTGCACATCTAACGAATCGTCCAGTTCGCTTCCCTCTGACCATGGAGGCAAACATGGAAATCACTGGAAAGCGATACGGTTGCATCAGTGATTACCAAGTCCACGTTGACCAAAACGGAAGAATTATTAAACTTTCCAATTACTTTGCCCATGACTCTGGTATATCGTTTAACGAACCTATCGCAAACACATTTATACTGTTCTTTCCAAATTGCTACGAGAGTAAAGCGTGGAAGATTATTGGAAAGATGGTGAAGACCGATGTACCCAAAAATACGTGGTGCCGGGCACCGGGCACCACTGAGTCCATCGCTACCGTTGAAACGATCATCGAAAATATTGCTCATGCTACGGGCAAAGATCCGTTGGAAGTTCGATTTGCAAACATGCCTAAGGATAGTAGGATGCGTTCACTCATACCAGACTTTCTAAAAAGCGTTGAATACGAATCCCGCAAACGATCAGTCGACTTGTTCAACGCTAACAATCGCTGGAAGAAGCGAGGCATTGCTTGGATTCCGGAAAAATATCTCCATACTTACCATGGCATATTTAACGCTCTTGTATCAATCTATCAAGGCGATGGTACAGTGGTGGTGACCCATGGAGGGATTGAAATGGGTCAAGGAGTCAATACCAAGGTGGCTCAAGTAATTGCTTCCACCCTGGGAATTTCGCTGGAAATGGTGTGCGTGAAACCTTCCACCAGCTGGACTTCGGCGAATGTTGATCCTTCTGGCGGTAGCGTCTCTAGTGAGTCGGTATGCTATGCCTCAAGTGAAGCTTGTAAGACTTTGCTAGAAAGAATGAAACCTATTCGGGAGAAATTTCCACAAGCTACTTGGCTACAACTGATACAGTTATGCTCTGCAGATAGCGTTGACCTTACTGTGAATTTTATGTTCAAAGCAACGGACGTAAAACCGTACTACTTGTGGAGTTTATGCTGTACTGAAGTGGAAATCGACATTCTTACCGGGAACATTCTGATTCGGCGGATGGATGTGCAGCAAGACACTGGCGAAAGCATGAGTCCCGGCATCGACCTGGGTCAGATTGAGGGAGCAATAACTATGGGCTTAGGATATTATTTGGCTGAAGAGTTAATCTACAATGATACTAATGGCCAGCTATTGACAAATCGCACTTGGAACTACAAGATTTTCGGAGCAAATGATATTCCAGTTGACTTTCGGATCAACTTCCTCAAGGGAAGTTCCAATCCGTGTGGAGTACTAAGAGCGAAGACGACCAGTGAGCCACCGCTAGTTTTGTCGGTTGTGGTGTTGTTTGCTCTGCGCAACGCCTTACGGTCGGCCCGTAGGGATGCTGGATTACCCGACGATTGGATACCTCTGGGGACTGCTTCAACACCAGAGAAGATTTTCCTGAAAGCTGGAAATTTTACTGATCAATATTTATTGAACTGATGATATGATGTAATATGATGTATTATAAAACAGACAAGTAATTGAAATATAGGAATTTGTTGATGAAGCTTTGTTGGGTTAATAAAAAAGCTTATGAAAACTGCATAATTTAGAAATATTGAAAACATTTAACAAATCTTTTTTTATTATAGTCACTTAAACACTTTAGGGTCATTCGTGTCTTGTCCGGGATGAGATTTGAACTCGTAACTTTGACGTGAGAGGTATCCATGTCAATTACTATGCCAGGGCCTTCACTTACTTTGGGCACATCAAAATTGAGAAAAATCGTTAAATTGTAACATTTTGTCAAATCTTTAAACTTTTTTTTCCAGGCATTGTTTATGTAATTTTTGCACAGAAGACGATTTAAAATGCCTTAAATATCTTTTTTTTTTTTTCGCGTGCTAACAAAAAGTATAGAATTCTAGATAGAGCTGGAATTAGGGCGTAAAAGCTTTTGTAAACAATGACTTCTCTCGATGATCTCTAGAAAACCAAGGCTCGCTCACTCAAATCAACGTCACCATCTGGTAGAGGAAGACTTCCCCTTACCGTTGGTTATGATGGTTTACGTGGGCGTGCCTTGAGTTTCGAGAAGTTATCGAGAGAATGCATTGTTTACAAAAGTTTTTACGCCCTAATTCCAGCTCTATCAATTATTGTTCTTTAGTGGTCATGACAAGTAGGCATGTGTCACATGCCTACTTGTCATAACCACTAAACACATGCATGATACAGAAACTACGTTGGAACTAGAGTCTATGTATAAGAGAAACACAATGGAACTCGCATAACGGTTTTCGAAACTTGTTAAAAGAGGACTTCTGCATCAACTTCAAATCTTCTGGCGAGTAAGCAAGTTAGCGGATGTAGTACATCATTATACAAGTGATTTTGGCGAATTATCTTAACTAAAAATATTACAAATTCTCATTACTGATCAATACCAAACATATCCGATGACAATTCAAAGCTCACTGCGTGTTTATGATTATTTCTTCGATTGTATTTTATATTTTATGGCAATACCTTTTGTGGAGCTTTCGAATTTGTTTACTTTGCACGATAGGTGGCCGGTTTGACAGTTCAATATGTAGACTTGGATTCACTCTCGGCGTGACTCTTAGACTCTAGTTGGAACGAATTCAGATCGAATTTGAATGATCCAGGTTGAAACTTAATCAAAAACCAAATTCGGAATAATATATTATTGGACAACTGTATTCCTTTTATCGTTCTACGTTCACTCCCGTGGTCCCAGCCGGAAATTTTCCTGACAAAATCAAAACAAACAGTCCCGATCTTAATTTTTTTGTGTACTTAACTATGTCATAAGCAACCAAGGGAGCAGTAGATTCGTGAAACCGTGACCGAGGCTGGAAACCTCGGTCCAGTCACGACATCAGCGACTAGGTCAACACCTCGATCCAAACGAAATTATCGTAGCATGAAGATAGACAACTTTGTCAGATTCTAAAGCAGTCTCTGATAATCTTCTTCTAAATTCATTTATTTAACGTCGATCTCTGTTCTAGTCCAAACCGACTGACATCAGAAGCCATCCATTGACGACAATTGAATGTGCAGTAGACTGATGCAAAATTTGAAATTTTCGCTCCACTGTGCTCAAACGATTATTAGCCTCCCAAAATTTAAACTCATTTGATATGAAACTGACTTGGCACAAATTATTTGAAGTTTGTATGGAAATTACTATGTGAAAACCAAACTTTTTGTTCATTGTCTTCTACCCATTTTCCATATTGCTTTTTGAAAATTTCTATAACTATTCTTACGGGAAATTTTCTAAGCTCCTACTTTTCGGAATATTGTTTTTCAGCCAAATGTCAAATTAAATTGTTATTAATTGTTTAAAAGATTGATAATCTTATGGCATGATTAAGCAGCTGTTCTGTGGGCAACACTGTATTCTGCAGTGTGACATAGTAGCCATGATATTTGTGCTCTATTCTTCGCACCAGAAACACCAATGTTGCCTGCTGAACAGTTAAATGAGCATAATCATAAGACATCAGTGACTTGAATCATTAATCACTTTTGTTCCTTACATTTGATTGAAAAGTGGTTTTCAACAAAGTTGTGCCTGAGAAAATTTGCTATAATTACTGCTTTCATTTTTAAAAGCATAGTGATGTGGTGAATTGTTAGATAGATATGAACAAAAACATAAGTTTTCCCATAGTAATTCCCATGTAAACTTGAAATGGTTTGTGCCAAGTCAGTCTCTTACTAAAGTAGTTCAAATGTTGGGAGGCTAAGCAGGACCCAATTTTGAACCGTTTAGGCACTGTGGAGCGAAAATTTCAAATTTTGCATCAGTCTAATGTGCAGGAAGGCAGCTTCCACATCTGCGTAGTATAATGCACCCATTAACGCACATGGACCAGGACCACCGGCCTTACTTCCCTTCCGAAGGAAAACAAGACCAGAGTTTTATATGGCTCAGAAAATTCAACCGACATCGACTGGGATTGAACCCAGACCCATTGGGGTGAGAAGCTGTCAGGCTTACCACTACACCAGCGATGCTAGCCAGCCTCTTTTCCACACGCTATTTCATTTTTCCTTTCTCGCACAACTTTCCTTCCTGTTGTCTCAAGCCGTCTGAGCGACAAAATATTTAGTAACAGCTCCGGTGTAAACAAAACATCCTCCATGATAATTTGGATCTTCTCCCCACAAACTAGAGCCTGACCAACAACACGACCTTTGTACCGAGCAAGCAAATTGGTACTGCTTTTAGCTGTTTGGATCACTACCGGCTTATCCAACTTTTCAATGCTTTCGGCTCGGAGCACCACTGCAATGCACTGTCTAAGAACCACTTCGAATCGGCACTAGAATCAAACGCGACATTCTCAAGAGCATCCGCCTCAACGAAAGAAACCGTCTTCGTACCGACGTTTGCCTTAAGCTGGGTTTAGACAGGGCAAGTCAACTGATCAAGTCAGTTAAATTCAACGCGAATTGAACGTTTAAACCATGCCATTCAACTGACTTGATCAACTCACTTGAATTTAAATAAGTTGAAAAAGTTGAATCATTTGACTTGCCTAGTCTAAACTTTATGCGCCGTTTTCTTCGGTGGAGCAGCCTCCCTGTCATTTCGATTGGGGCACTGAAACTTTTTGTGCCCGACACTACCATAACCAAAACGTCTTTTTAGGGCCCACCAACTCACTCCCACACCGAAGAGCTCTCATCAAGAGCCCCCTGGTAATGAACTCCTCGTTATGTTTTTAATTAAAAATTAGAAGAACAAGTAACATATGCTAATAATTTGGAGGGGTGTGATGAACTATCTGTAAAACAAACAAAGTTAATAATGTTGGGATGTTCCCAGTGGAACTAAGTTCCTTTAAAGGGTTCCCTTACCTATAAATATAAATGATTCGATATATTAATATAAACAGCTTAATAGTGAGTGTAATACAATGATAATAATCAGTGCAATGTTTATAACATTGTTAACGAATTTATATAAAGAGTTCATTGATTATTGATTTGTCATGTTTTTTTTTTAAACTGAGACATAACATCTCTGATCGCACCTTCCTTCAGATGGGAAGTAAAGCCATTGGTCCCCGGTTCATGAGTTGATGGGTCGATAGGTAGGGTTCAGGTTTGGGAGCTGCCTCTCTGTCGTCGTTAGCATTCTTGCTGAGCACGGAAAACCAGATCGACGGAAAATACCTTGATTCCCTTAACTGCATCCTATACCGATCCCAAATAATTTGTTATGCATCGCATACGTGAAAACCTCCAAATTGTTATACACATGGGTTTGTACATGTCGGGGCCTCATAGCCTAGTCAGTAAAAGCACGGTATTACCAAGCCGGTCGAGGGAATCTTTCGGGTTGAAAATTTTCTCGACTTCCCTGGACATAGAGAGCCTACCAGACAATATACAAATTCATGCAGTGGTATTGGCATCGAAAGCTGTCAATTAATAACTGTGGGAGTGCATTTAGTAAAATACTAAGTTGAGAGCACGCAATAAGCTAATATGCAGTAAGCATTAAGCTTGAAATGCGAATAAGAAGAAGAAGATGTGTTCGTGCATTCTCATTTAGCATAGGGTTTTTGATCTAATTTTAGTCTCTTTTCTGAACGAGTTTAATCAATAAGTGGAATATTTCTGTCAAAACAGACTTCTAAATTTATTCAATTTTCCATACGTACCGTTGGATTTGATAAAGAGTCACACATTATTGAGATATTGTTTAAAATCTAATACTACTTCTTGATTCTAAATTCGTCCTACGAGTTCCTATTCCGTCCAAACGCATTGAAACGCCATTAGATTTTCTTTGTCGTACCGATAAACGTAGAAAAAGGAAATTGGCTGGGAGAGCTTCTTTTGTTTTTAGGACAATCAGCGTAAATATTTATACAATGCGCTGTAATAGGATTTATGTTAGCTAATGAAGTAACGTATCGGAACAAACCTATTATTGATTTGTGCACGGTGAAATCATTGATATTATTGATTTTTTTGATCGATAGAACGAAAATGGGCTATTACGACGAAGTAGCGCTCTACCCTATGAGGTATATTTGTGAACCAACCCTACTTGAAACTATATTTGTAGCTTGGTAGACTGCACTCATAAAATAAATCACATAACCAGTGGAAGATATCCATGTAAATTTCACATAACTTTCAGGGAATTTACACCACTAAATCACATGAACGTAATGTGTCCAATGAAGTCTATATGATTGCTCATATAGAATTTCGTATGCTATGTGATATTCAGCTAAAAATCAGTATTTTGTAATTGGGACAATATTCTGTGCGTTCTTAATAGACTCTAAGTGAAAAATTTTAAGTGTGTGAATTCCTCATGCAAGTATGCAACCGGTTTTACACGAGCATAAGTACTTCGATCTGCTGAATGATCGCTGAATACAACAGGCGGTAGGCCCACTGGCACCATTGCATACATCAGTGAACGGAAATCAAATTGGAGT